TGGCTAATTAAAAACAAGTAATAAAACCAGGTGACAAGGCCAGCAAGAGAGCTCTCCAGGAAAAGACACTTGACCTGTGACCTCCATTCGATTCCTGGAGCCCACATATGGGCGGGGGAAAATGGCTGGCTATACATAGTTGTCCTCTGACCTCTACCCATGTGCTGTGTCAGGCACACACCCACACATCAAAACAATACATACATCATACAAACACACATCATATGCATGCATACATACATAACACACATATCATAGGTACGCATGCCAATAATAAAGATAAGTTATTTTTAAGAACAAGTGATAAATCAATGGTGATTTGATATCTTAAGAGAGAATTCTGGAAGAGCCTCATAATCAAGCAGTTGAAAAACTTAAAGCTTAATGAAGATGCAACAATACATAACTGTATTAACATAAATGACATCATTATCACGAGAAACTCAGTATTTTAAAGATAAAATCTCTTCTTTTCTTTTTGTATTGGATAAGCCCTCCCCCATTTTGAGGGGATTTTTTGAGACAGGGTTTCTCTCTAGTTTTTGGTGTCTCTCCTGGAACAAGCTCTTATAAACCAGGCTGGCCTCGAACTCACAGAGATCTGCCTGCTTCTGCTTCCTGAGTGCTGGGATTAAAGGCATGAGCCAGGATAAGCCCCTTTATATTGGACTAGTCATTATTATTTTCAATTTTTAATTTTTATTACTGTCTGTGTGTATGTGTGTATGGTGTGTGTATATGTATGGTGTCTATGTATGTGTATGGTGTATGTGTGTATGGTATATACGGTGTGTGGTGTAGGTATATATGGGGTGTGTGTGTGTGTGGTGTATGTATGTATGGGGTGTGTGTGTGTGTGTGTGTGTGTGTGGTGTATGTATGTATGGGTGTGTGTACATGAGTGTCATGATGCACATGAGACAAGCCAAAGAGCAACTTTCAAGGAAAGAGTCAATCTTTCCTTCCACCAGGGTTCTAGAAATCAAACTCAGGTCAAAGGTTTGCACGTGACATTTACCCTCTGGCCATCTCATCAGCTCTGGAATAATTATTCTTAGAAACTGTGAGTCCCTTCAAAGGGCAAAGGTTATCTAGTTCACCTTCGATCCCTCACAGTCCGCTCAGTACTTACCTAACACATAGTAGCTGTGTTCATTAAATGTTCGCCGACTAAACAAACGGATAGACGACGGCTGCCTTATCCTTATGCAAAGACACCATTGCCCTTTCCGCCACTCGGTAAGAGTTTTTAATCATTGCACTTTAGATTCAATGTGGGGTCTTTGGGATTACAGAATTTATAATTATTTGTTATGTATGGATACATGCATTATCTCTCATTCAACGCTTCCTTGACTAAAGAGAAACATGAGACCCAGAAAGGCTTCAAAAAGAAAAGAACTAAGGGGTGGTGATGGTGCACAACTTTAATCCCAGCACTCACGAGGCAGAAGCAGGTGGATCTCAGTGAGGCCAGCCTGGTCTACAGAGTGAGTTCCAGGACAGCCAGGACTGTTGCACAGAGAAACCCTGTCTCAAAAACAAACAAAACAGCAACAATAACTAAACGATATGGAGGGCAGATATGATCCTCAGACCTCCCAGTCTAGTCTGACAAAGAAAAAAAAAAAACACACCACTGTTGATGATTTAAAGTCAGACGCTAATGAAGCGTCTAAGAAGAAATGTTATCCTTAAAGCAACCAAAGCTTTCAAAGAAAGGGTCAGTTGCATCCATGGTGGGGATTAAGACTGAGTCCTTAAAGACCACAAACTCATCCCCTAGATAGGCACCAAGAATGGCTGCCTTGGGCGCCAAGCCTGGGGCAGTGGAGACAGGTGCAGAGTGTGGGGTGACGCCTGTTCCTCTTCTTCTCTTGTAAGCGTCATCAGTTTCCGTTTCAAAGAGCCTGTCTTTGGACTGCTGAGATGGCTCAGCTGGTGAAAGTACTTGAAGTACTTGTTACCAAGCCTGATAATTGCGTTCAATACTTGGAGTCTACATGGTAGAACAAGATAACCGCCTTCGGCAAGCTGTCCTCTATCTTTGCACACTTGCCTTGAACACTCGCCACCTCAAATGGATGAATCGGGGATGCCGTCTAAGGTGGATGTGAATGATGTATGGAGCTTTGAAAACTATGTATGCAGGATGGCTATTCTTCCTCCACAGGAAACAGTGACGTGTGTCTAGAGACGGAAGGTAGCATTTAATTAGGATGAAGGATATGTGCGAGAGAATACTAAAAGATGAGATTGGAGAAGTAGGCGAGGGCTAGAGCATGCAATGTTTGACGTCTTCTAAACTGCAAATGTTTCACAAACATTAGAATGATTATCAGTTCTCATTTCTGCTTGAGTCAGTGAATAATGGAGCGAGTTAAAGATTCCTTCTAAGAGGTAATTCACACCTTTGGCAGGAAGAAAGCGGCGTCCTATGCCATTGTGCTGGTTCTCAACCCAAGAAAGCAGACGGAAGGGTGGGGAGAGAGGGTTATACACGCTAAAGTCTCCCAAATGCTTTTATCCAATGATGCCTATTTGAGAACGCTGCTCCAACACTTACTAGTGAAGACATAAGAGCACTGTGTCAGCCGTCACTTCCTCAGCTCCCATTCTCAGGAAAGTCATCAGCGACCTCCTGAGAGCATTACTGGCCTGCGGTCGATCTTATGGGACCCGTGTGTTCTGTGATAGTTGACATTGTTAACCACGCAAAACTTGCTCAACCTCTGTCTTCCATGGCTCTTTTTCTTTCCCCTCCCTGTCTGGCTCTTAACAATATAACCTGTGAGCTATTGCTCTTCCATCTGTCTGTACTGTGAGGATGGCCTCCATGCTGTGCTGTGGCTGTCTGTCCACTCCACACACTTTCGGGGGTTCACCATGTTCTCTTGGTTTCAACTACCTGGAAACTCTTTAAACTGTTTTTGTGAGCCTCCAACTTTTCTCCCAGGCCTCAGATTGCTTCCAGGTGTCCATTATAGCTTATTAGCATAGCCCACAAGCACAATAGCTGACTGAGTTCATGTTTTCCTCTTGTCTTCTGCAACCTCCATCCCCAGCACAGATCGACCTATCTAGTCCAGCATTCTCTTGCTTCTCTTCATAAACAATGTCATTCCTTTTCACAAACTAGAAGGCTTAAACCTTCCTCACCATCTGCTTCCCCTTAACAAGTTCTTTCTCACTTGGAGAATCTTTATAAATCTTTTTGTTACTGCTTGTGGTTCTTTTTCTTACACAGGAATTTAGCCTCAGATACTCTCCGTCTTTCAAAACAAACACACAAACAAAACTTTTCTGGGCAAACTTTTCTCCCACTCCTACACCATCTACCTTATGTGTCCTTGTCAACTCTTGTTTCTTTTGTTTCCCTAACGTTCTGTGTGTCTGACAACGCTGAACTACACCCATGCCCTGATTCTGTTGATCATATATAATGAACCAAGTAAGAGAATTTTATATAGATTCACACACACACACACACACACACACACACACACACACTTTGTTCACATGCATGAGTATGTGCAGGAATGAAAGCACAAATGGCATGCACACACACACACTTTGCTCACAAGCATAAGTGTGTGCAGGAGTGTGAGCATACATGCGTGCACGCACACACACACACACACACTCTCACATTGTTCACATCTTCTATCCTAGAGGCAAGGCAAACCCTAACATTGTAATACTGTGAGTGATAGATACTGTAGGCAGGGCCGAGAAGACAGCCTTGCAAAATTGTCCTGTCATAGATTTCAGTCTGAGGAGCCAGGCTGACCCCAGCCAGAGTCAATCCATCTCTTCCTACACCGAACCTGAACCTGCTCTGCTGTATGAAACTGGAGGAAATGAACTAATGTATATGATGACATTACACAGTCACAATCCCTAACCTCAGGTGCGGCCTTAAGGCTGCCTAGCCAATGACAGTGCTTGACCTCCTGAATCTTTCTCCTATGTCTCAGACTTCCACTGCCTTTCTCATCTAATGGCCTTGCTTCCTGTGTCACTCACAAACTACATCCAATCAGGAGAAGAATGCCACCAGCAAACTCCTCTTACCCGTATTGGTGGCTGCATGGTGTATCTCCCATATTTACATCACAATTCATAACAGTAGCAAAATTCCAGTTATGCAGTAGCAATGAAATATGTCATGATTGGGGTCGTTGGGAATCATGAGGAACTTTATTAAAGGGTTGCAGCATTAGGAAGGTTGGGAAGCACTGTGATTTGTTTCTCATTAAATGTTCCTTTTCTACCTCCCTCACTGGCTTATCCATGTCACCGCAACCAAAAGGTGTACATATACAATGCTCTCAACTTAGGAATAAATGACATGGCTCTTTTTGCAGCAGACATGCTAATTATATCCTGCTTATCTGTAGTTTAACTTTCATTCTCCAAGCACACACCGGCTGGACAAAGGAGGAGTGACGTGGGAGGTCCTTCTGTATATGTGACGCTTTTATTGGTTAGTGAATAAAGCTGTTTCAGCCAATGACTTAGCAGAGTAAAGTCAGGCAGGAAACCAAGACAGAGATAGATAGATAGATAGATAGATAGATAGATAGATAGATAGATAGA